CAGCACTTGGGAGGCAGAAGCAGGCGGATCTCTGTGAGTTCAAGACCAGCCTGGTCTAAATAGTTCTAGGACAGCTGGGGCTACAGGGAGACCCTGTCTCAAAAAGACAAAAAAAATAAATAAATAAACTTTTAAAAAATTCATCATTATTTTAATTATATGTATCTGTGTTGTGTCTGCATGTGGGAGTGTGCACACGAGTTCAGGTACCTGTTAAGGCCAGAAGCTTCAGATCCCCTGGAGCTGAAGTTATAAGAGGTTGTAAGCTGTCTGATGTGGATGCTGGGAACCAAACTCCTGTCCTCTGGAAGAACGGCAAGTGCTCTTAACCCCTGAGCCATCTCTCCAGACCCCTATTTATTTATTTTTGAGTCAGGGTCTCTTTGCTGAACCTGGAGCTCACTGGCTAGACTAGCTACCCAGCTAGCTCTGGGCTTCTACTATCTCTGCTACCCTGTGGTCATAGACATGTGTTGCCACACCTGGAGTTTTACATGGATGTCGGGGAATCTGAACTCAGGTCTTCTTGCTTGTACAGCAAGCCCTTTACCTACTGAGCCATCTCCCCAGACCTACCCTGTCTTTTTCATTAAGGAGTGCCTGCTTTGACAAGATTGGAAAATAAGTGAAAGCCAGGTGCCTTGCACAGTTGCCACGCCCTCCCTTGTTTTCTGATTAGTCATACCTCACCCAGCATATGCTGCACCCTGTGGTGTAAGGCACACAGGAGTTGGGAGGCCTTTGAGTCCTGCACTCAGTAGAAGGAAGTTGGCTGTGTTTGGGCTGATCTCAGTGTATTGTGTGCAGGGAGTCTTTGTTCAGCACTGACATGAGAACATGAGTGTCTTCCAGAGAACACTCCTCCTTTAGAGACTCTGTTCCCTTCCCACCAAGCAGGCCCCATGGATTCCCAGATGGAGCCATCCCACTTGAATTAAGGGGAAGCTGACCGAAGTTTGGCTCATCCTTATGTAACTGGGAGGGGTTGGCTGCTCTTGCCGGTTTGCACAATGGTCTTACCACAGCATTTCCTTCCACAAATGCTAAGTCATCCTGTGTGTGCCACAGGGAAGGAGAGTGGTGGGGGAAGGGCAGGAAGACATCTGCTCTGCACCTGTGTTCTCGAGTTGATGACTGGTATTGTTTTCCCAAAGGTAGAGTGTTATGTTAGTGCCCAGAGATTTCAACCCATTTTATTTGGAGGAAAAAGAAAGTCATTCTTCTTATATAAATTATTAATTGAGCAAGTCTGTCACAAGGGATAATTTAAAGATATTAAATGTAATAAAGTAAAATTATGAAACTAAATTAGTATTAATTACTAATTTTAATACTAATTAGTATTAAAAACTAAGCGGTGGAGGGGCACTGGAGAGATGGTTCAACGGTTAAGAGCACTGGCTGCTCTTGCAGAGAACCCAGGTTCACTTCCCAGCACCCACATGGCAACTAACAAGCATCCATAACTCCAGTTCCAAAGGATCCAATGTCCTCTTCTGACCTCTGTGGCCATTGCACAACATGGGTGTTCTTACATACATGCAGACAATACACTCATACACATAAAATTTAAAAAATAAATAAAAATTTTTTTTAAAAAAACTAAGCCAGCAGCTGGGTGTGGTGGCACACACCTTTAATCCCAGCACTTGGGAGGCAGAGGCAGGTGGATCTCTGTGAGTTCAAGGCCCGCCTGGTCTACATATTTATTCCAGGACGGCTGGGGCTACAGGGAGACCCTGTCTCAAAAAGACCAAAAAAAAAAAAAACCACTAAGCCAGCATGGTAGTGCCTGTCTGTAATTCAGCTCTTGGGACATGGAGGCAGGAGGATCAAACGTTAATGGCCATCCTTGGCTACACGGCAAATTCAAGGCCAGCCTGGGCTACATGAGAACCTGTATCAGAATATATATATATATAAATTAATTTCCTCTAAATTAAAACTAAAATTTTATTCTTGAGCTAATACTAAGTAATTCTCCATAATTATTTTTTGTACATAAAGGAACTCAAACTAGTTTTATTAAAATGGTAAAATAGATTATTGCTTTTACCTATTAAATGAGTAGTTTTTAAATACTCAAATATATATATATAGGTCTTTTTGAGACAGGGTCTCTCTGTAGCCCCAGCTGTCCTGGAACTCACTATGTACACCAGGCTGGCCTTGAACTCATAGAGATCCGCCTACCTCTGCCTCCCAAGTGCTGGGATTAAAGGCGTGCACCACCACGCCAGGCTTTATTATTTTATGTGTATGAGTGTATTGCCTGCATGTACGTGAGTGCCCTCGTGTTGTGCAATGAAGTGGGGGTCAGAAGAGGGCTTCATACTCCCCTGGAACTGGAGTTAAGGAGGGTTCGTAGCTGCCATGTGGGTGCTGGGACTTGAACCTGGGTCCTCTGCAAGAGCAGTCAGTGCTCTTAACCGCTGAGCCGTCTCTCCGGCTCCCATACTAATCTTTTTTGTCTCTGTTTTACCTCAAAACTTCCCTTTGAATTTTGAATTGATCTTTGTGATTGAATACCTGTATTTTGTTAGAAGACTGACTTAAGACTTGTTTTAGCTATCAAATCCACTGTTCAGTGCTTTCATAAAAGTTCTTTTTGGGGATCTGGAGAGATGGCTCAGCAATTAAGAGCACTGACTGCTCTTGCAGAGGACCTGGGTTCAATTCCCAGCACCCACATGGTGGCTACAAAGCGTCCTTAACTCCAGTTCCGGGGAATCCGAAGCCCTCTTCTAACCTCCGAGGCATTGCACGATGCAGCTACCATCTGTCCTTAACTCCAGTTCCAGGGGAATCCCAAGCCCTCTTCTGACCTCCGCGGCATTGCACGATATGGGTGCACCCACATACATGCAGGCAGTACACTCATACACATAAAATAAAAATAATAAATAAAAATATTTTAAAAATAAAATTTTTGGCGGGCATGGTGGCGCATGCCTTTAATCCCAGCACTTGGGAGGCAGAGACAGGCAAATCTCTGTGAGATCAAGGCCAGCCTGGTCTACATAGTGAGTTCCAGGACAGCTGGGGCTATAGGGAGACCCTGTCTCAAAAAGACAAACAAATAAATAAATAAATTTTTAAAGTTCTTTTTGGGCCAGGTTAAAGGTTAAATTTGGGTCCACTGGCCAGAAGAACCTGGAACTCTTGGTGCAGGTTGTGTCTCACGCCTGCCCCCTCTGCTCTGTGTCGTGTGTGGGTGTGTCATCATCCATGTTCTGTATTTCCCCGTCTCCCCCCAACACTCGGTTCTGAGTGTTCACCACTGTCCTCTGGCAGCTTCTCTTTTCTCTGTGCAGGAGAAGCTGTCTTTGCTCGGTGTTTGTCCTCTCTGAAGGAGGAGCGTGTTCAAGCCAGCAGAAAGCTGAAGGGTCCCCAGAAGGTCCAGTTTGGAGGCAATAAGGAGTCCTTCCTGGAGGACATTCGCAAGGTGGGTAGCACCTGGCCTTAGGCTTCGCTGGCCTTGGGGATAGCTTGTGCGGTGATGGGAGAGCTCTTAATGCCCTGGGATGGCAGGAAGAGTAAGTCCAGACTCCACCTCAATCTGCCTTGAGGCTTTTCTTGTGCTGTTGCCCTCTCTGGGTCTCCGCTGAGGTCAGAGGACTGGTGGATGGGAGGTGGCCGCTCCACTAAATGGCAGCTGTGGTTCTCTGTGTTACCATCCAGGCCCTCTATGCCTCCAAGATCATCTCCTATACTCAAGGCTTTATGCTGCTGAGACAAGCAGCCACCGAGTTTGGCTGGACCCTGAATTACGGTGGCATTGCCCTCATGTGGAGAGGGGGCTGCATCATCAGAAGGTAAGCCACAGGCAACCTCAGGGCTGCTGGGACATGCCAGCCATACGTGACCTCAGGACAGGCTTCACAGTTTTCCTGTAACTAGAGCAGCTACCCTGTCACTGAACACTGACAACAGCATGGGTTACAGTGTCATAGTTCACTTTTGTCTTATACAGGCCCCTCCGTATACATGTCCACAGTTTAAAACAATTGTAGATCAAAAGTGTTTGAAAGAATTCAGGGTGTGGTGGTACAGGCCTTTAATCCTAGCACTTGGGAGACAGATGCAGGTGGATCTCTGTAAGATCCAGGCCAGCCTGGTCTGCATAGTGAGTTCCAGGCCAGCTGGGGCTGCAGGGAGACCCTGTCTCAAAAAGATACCCCCCCAAAAAATCAAAAAGACAAAAAAGAAAACCTTTTATAGAGTACTTGTTTCACATTTGTGAGACCTTGGGTTCCAGCACCACACATACACACACACAAACAGCTGAACATTTATAGACTTTTTTATTAGCATTATTCCCTAAACACTACAGCATACCAGCTGTGTTTGTAGCATTTGCATCATAGTAGTTACCATAAATCACCTAGATTGTTGTGGGGTGCTTTACCAGAGAAGATCATTCAGACAAAGTTTTGCCAAATGAAAGTCATTGCTGGCCAGGGCTACTACACAAGGATGTTGGGACCCAAGTGTGTAGCCCTGAGCCATCTTCTCTCTAGGGTAAGCTTTTACACAGAGAAACCATAACCAGAGATGAGAAGTTTAATTTCCCAAGCTTATAGCTGGAGAGCCCCCTTAACAATTTCTATTCTGTTAAGCAACAATTACTATTCTGTAGAAGCAAGCCAAGCATAACCTACAGAAGCCATAAATCAGCAGTTAGAAGCTGCACTCCGGAACACACTGACCTGTTCCCAAGACAACCAGGGTCCAGTTGACATGTGTTCCCATACCCCAGGCCAACTGCCTGATAATTTCTGAGACTAGAGTCAGCCTAAACTTTAACATGGCGTAGCTATGGTCAAGAAGGTGCCCTATTACAAGATGATGTAAAGTATACAGGGTATGTGTAGGTTATTTTAAACACTATGCCATTTATTAGTGTATATGGATGTGTGTGTGCAGATACCATGACCTACATGTGGAGGACGTCAGAGAGTAGCTTGTGAGAGTTGGTTCTCTACTTCTACCACATGGGTCTAGGAGATTAAACTCGGGTCATCAGGCTTGGCCACAGGTGCGTTTCCCCACTGAGCTCTCTAACTGGCCCAATGAATACAATGCCATTTTATGAGGAGTTGCACACCCAAGGATTTTAGCTAGTCCCATTCCCTGAACAGACTGAGGGACAGCACAGTCTCTCTGACTGAACTTTCTATACCACCCCATCACGTAGCTCTCTGAGAAGTGTTATGGCCCTGGCCTCATCTCCTGGGACTTCCCTCTGTCCTTTCTTGAGATAGGGTCTCTCTTAGCCCATGTTGGCCTTGAACTCCTGATCTTCTTGCCTCTACCTCACCTTTGCTTTTTAAAAAATAACTTACTTTTAGGCCAGGCATGGTGGTGCATGCCTTTAATCCCAGCACCTGGGAGGCAGAAGCAGACAGATCTCTGTGAGTTTGAGGCCAGTCTGGTCTACATAGTCAGTTCCAGGCCAGCTGGGACTACAGAGAGATCCTGTCTCAAAAAGACCAGAAAAAAATAACTTTTAAGGAGCTGGAGAAGTGACACAACGGTTAAGAGCACTGGCCGCTCTTACAGAGGAACTGAGTTTGATTCCCAGCACCCACGTGGCAGCTAACAACCATCCATAACCAGTTCCAGGTGAATCCTGTCCTCTCTTCTGACCTCCACTAGCATTGTATGACACGGGTGTACTTACACACATGCAGGCAATACATTCATACACATAAAAGTATTTTTTAAATTTTTAATTGAACTTTTGTGCATTTCATACAACACATCTTGATCATGTTTAGACCTTCTTGCCTGTCTGCACCTCTTGATAGCCCTCCTTCTGGATTTTATGCATTCTGTCATATATGTTAAGGCCTGTCAAGTTTGTGTCCCCAAATGTCCCTTGGTGTGCATTCTTTCACTGGAGCCTGGTCAGCCTATCTAGACCAGCTCTCCCTCACCCAGCAGTGGTCAGTTGCCAATAGTTCCTCTGCTAAGGTGGGGGCTTCGTACCCATTTCCCCAGTTCTATGCTGGGTTTTTGTCTGGTTTAAGTTTGCATGGGTCTTGTGCATGCTGTCACCATCGCTGTAAGTTCATATGAGCAAGTTTCCAGCTGCCTGAAAAATTGTTTCCTTGTGGTCATCCACCACTCCAGACTTTTGCAGTCTTTCTGCCCCCCTCTTCCACAATTGTTCCTGAGTCCTGCCTGGGTGGCAGAGGTTTAATACAGGATCCTATCCTGGAACACATGCTCTGAAGTCTTATTCTCTACATTTTGGCCAGTTGTGGCTTTCTGTGGTAATCACCATCTGTTGCATGAAGAAGCTTCGCTGGTGAGAATTGGGAGATGCGTTAACATTCTCTCTGCCCCCTGTGGTGGGTCCTGGGGATGGATTCAGGACATCAGGCTTGGCAGCGGGTGCTTTTGCCCTCTGCGCCACCTCAGCAGCCCCCAGTGTACTTATGAAGAGACTAGGCTAGCTCTCGGGGCTGTGCTTTGTAACTCCACCTCTACAGAATACGTATCCACTTGTTACTTCACTGCTGTCAGTGAGGCTCTCAGCCGCTGTGGTTAAGAGGATTTCATGTGTGCTGTTTCAGTGTATTCCTGGGAAAGATTAAAGATGCATTTGATCGAAACCCAGAACTTGGGAACCTACTGCTAGATGACTTCTTTAAGTCTGCGGTTGAAAATTGCCAGGTATGTAGCTGGCGGCTGTGTGTCCCGTTTATTTTCTCTGGGTTTCACTCCAGGACATCTCTGTTTCATTTAGCAGCATTGATGCCCATGAAATCCTTCATACTGGAACCACTGAGTGGCTCTGGGGCAAACTCAATCATTCACCCTTTGCTTTCTGTGCGTAGGACTCCTGGCGGCGGGTGGTCAGTACTGGGGTCCAAGCAGGCATCCCCATGCCCTGCTTCACCACTGCCCTCTCCTTCTATGATGGATACAGACATGAGATGCTGCCGGCCAACCTCATCCAGGTGAGCTAGGGAGCGGGTGATACCCTTTAGCCCGGCTGGCTCCTGAGGATCGTGTACATCCCACCCTAACCAATTGCATTTCTTTCCTAGGCTCAACGGGATTACTTTGGGGCTCACACCTATGAACTCTTAGACAAACCAGGACAGTTTATCCATACCAACTGGACAGGCCACGGTGGCAGTGTGTCATCTTCTTCGTACAATGCGTAGTAGGCCTACGGCTCTCATCCTCCCTCCCCCTCAGGACAGTCCCTGTGCCAAAAGCACTCCTCATGGCCCTTTGTCCTATTCCTGCTCAGATCTTTTAGCCAAGTGTTGGCTTTGGCTCCTAACAGGTCACACACAGTCTGTTGTACAGTAGTTGTGAGCCACTGTGCCCTCTGCCTCATCCTCTTGAGCTGCCCAGGAACTGACCTTGTACACAGCAGCGTGACTGCCCCCTGATGCAGCTGTGCCACTCGGGTCAGAGGCTGCAGCACTTGGCACACAGGAGAAGGGTTTGTGGCACTGTTTTAACTGGAACCTTGGATAGTGCAAGAGAGTTCTGTTTCTTCTACTCAGTGAAAATCATGGTGGTTCTTGGTTGAGTCTTACCGCTCCAAGCTGTGATGAGCTGATTTTTCTTTTAGCCTTTTTCATTTTTACCTCTGGTTGATTTTGTTTTAAGATTCCCAATAACACAGGACACACTGAGTTGAGGGTAATGATTGAGTCTGGCGGGAGGGTGAAGAGGAAGTTCTTACTGGGCACAGTGGGTACTCCGGTGTTCATGTGATGTCCGCCTTGTCACACACTTCATAATAAACTTTTTAAACACATTGTTTGGTTCGGTCTGTTTTGTGTCCTGTCCTGCGCCAGATGTGTCTAGGTCCAGCCCTAGTCAGGTGTGAGATTTTTAGCGCCCTCAGTCTGCTCCTGAACCAGGCTTTTCATGTGTCTTGTTTACTTAGGTATTACTCAGCCTGGGGCCACGGGACTGTATCAGGCCAGGAGCAGTGCCACTCTCATGATTTTTCTGGACCAAACGTGGCCTGAGAACAGGGAGAGTAAACAGTGCCTGTTTGGGTAGCTGGCATCCATCATCTGATCTCTCACCTCAGCCTCAGGAGAGTGCAGGGCAGGCAGAGCTGGCGTGGGGAAGCAGCTTCATGGCCTCCAGCCTCCTGGAGCACAGAGTGCACCCCCTCACCCAGCTGCCCACTTAGATTCCTTTAAGGGCTTCTAAAGGCTTCATCTGTTGTCCCTACTCTGAGGCAGATGGATGCCTCGAGAATAGAGTGAATTCTGAAGAGGAACAATAGACTGGAAAGTGAATCCAAGGGCTTAACCTAAAGTAAAGGCAGACTGCCTAAAAATTAAATCTGGCAATCAGGATCAATCCAGACTCTTCCTACTCACTGCTCAAGGCGCTGTGAATGGTGGCTCATGGGGAAATCATTTACAGTGTCTGGTCTCGGTTTTCTCATTAAAAGGGGATGGCAGTAGTCTGTCCCCTCCAGTGAAAGCAACAGTTGTTTGCACACAACCCCCGAATGAACAGTAGCTTCTGCCGTGTGCCTGTGACTGACTGGCCCTGAGCGCATGGAGGAGCCTGGGGGCAATGTCAGGAATCATCCACCATCTCTTACATCATGTTCTTGTTGGAGATGGGGTCTCAAACAAGAGCCAATCGAGGGACAGCAGATACGGTTCGTCTTGCTGGCCGAGTTGCTCTAGAGATCCATCTCCCCACCCTATCCCACTGGCCCCCTGCACCCTCTATGCTCGCTGCCTCCCACCTGGCATTTACAGTGGGTTTCTGGGAATCTGGACTCCAGGCTTCACATGCATGGCAAGCACTTAACTGCTGAGCTATGTCTCTAAATCTGATCTTGAACTAATCCTTCTGCCTCCACCTCCCCAGTGCTAGGATTATAGTATGCACCACCATCATTGGTTTATAAGGTGCTGGGAATTGAACCCAGGGCTTCAGGCATGCTAAGCAAGCACTCTACCCAACTGAGCTATGTCTCCAACCTCCAGTTTTTCTTTTTGAGCATTGAGCATTTGGTTACCAGTACTCAACCATAGTCCAAAATAGAAAATGGGAAATTCTAGAAACAGTTTTGTAGTTGTGGGGACTGCACCTAAGACCTTTTAGATACTAAGCAAGTGCTCTGTGACAAAGTCATATCTTGAGCCTAATTAGTGAATTTTAAATCACATGCCACTCTGAATAACGTGAGGGAATACATTGTCCACTCCGTCACACCTGGATGTGAACCACCCCATGTGTGTAGTCTATCTGGCTGTTCGTGCTACCCTCCCATTAGTCAGCGACTGCCTTGCTTTTTGGATTAACCTTTGCAGTATAGAAGTTGGGCTCATGGGGCTGGAGAGATGGCTCAGTGGTTAAGAGCACCGGCTGCTCTTGCAAAAGACCCGGGTTTGAATCCTATCACCTGCATGGCAGCAAATAACTGTCCATAACTCCAGTTCCAGGGAATCTGACACCGTCTTCTGACCTCTGAGGGCACTGCACAACACGTGTGCACTAACATGCAGGCATAACGGACACATAAAATGAAATTATGATATTTTAAAATAAAAGAAGTTGCGTTCACATAGCTAGCCCTTACATTCACAATGATCCCAGACTCTAAAAACAGATATTGGCAGTTTGGATTTGCCAAAGAGAGCCATGAAATGCTTCCCTTAAGTGAAAAGGCAAAAGTTCTCAACTTGAAAGGGGGAAAATGGGTACTGGGATTGCTAATATCTATAGTAAGAACAAATCTGAAATTGTGAAGAGGAAATTTGTGCTAGCTTTGCTGTCCTGACATCTCAAACCGCTAGTTTCAGCCCACAGTGTGTGATAAGTGCTTAGTTAGAATGGTAAACGGGATAGGAGTAGGTATCGCATGGTGGTACAGTTTTTGCTTAGCATGGCTAAAGCCCTGCACTCAAGCTCGGCACTGACAAATTGTTAGTAGAAGGAACCGACAAAATGGGTTGGGTTGGTAGTGCAGCTCAGTGGTAGAGTACTCCGCAGACATTGCACAACATGGGTGCACCTACCTACATGAAGGCAGTACACTCATACACGTTAAAAAAATTTTTTTTAAACAGGTAATAGGGGCTGGAGAGATGGCTCAGTAAATCTTTTTTTTTTTAGTTTTTTTATATGTGTGAGTGGTATACCTGCATGTAAGTGCACCTGTGTTGTGCAGTGCCTGTGATGGCCAGAAGAGGGCATTGGCTCCCCTGGGACTGGGGTTATGGATTCAAACCCAGCTCCTCTGCAAGAGCAGTCAGTGCTCTTAAGTGCCGAGCCATCTCGCCAGCCCTTTTTTATTTTTTGGCCTATTTTTTTGAGGCAGGGTCTCCCTATAGCTCTAGCAATCCTGGAACTCACTTTGTAGACCAGATTGGTCTGGAACTCACAGAGATACACCTGCTTCTGCCTCCCAAGAGCTGGGATTAAAGGCATACTGCACCACATCCAGCCAGCCCAATTTTTTTTAATTATTTTTATTTCTATGTG